TCTTTTTTGCAAAGAAACTGTAATCTGGAATGTACATGTGACCAACTTTATACAAATAGTTTTTGTACTTGGTTTACTACACTGGATTTTCGTAGCACATACTGACTGAGGAAAAGAAAGAAAAAACAAAGCTGGATATCCATTTGGAAAAAGCTGGACTTTTCCTTCATGTCTTCTACTAAAATAAGTGTAAACAGATCAAAATGTTACCAGCAAAATACGAATTATAAAATAACCCAAAGAAAACATGGGATATTAAAAACATTTAATTTGACTGGGGGACATCTTTCTGAGGGTAACATGAAATCCAAAGCAAAAAATAACGCTAAATAAATAGTTACTAATAAAAATATTGGGAAAAATATTGTCTTTGCAAGACACAGAGGTACTCTGTTTAATATGCAACATATAAAATGTACCTGTAAAGAAAAAGCAAGACTAATAATTCAAAAGAAAAATGGGCAGAAGTTACTAATAGTTTACAAGAAACGAAATACAGATTTTGCTTCTGAGTATATTCTTGTAATTTTTTTTTTTTTTTGAAGGGGAGGTGGGAATGCACTGGGCAGGCTTGTTGAGTCTGAGAAGATTTCCAGTTTTGATCCCTTGGTGATTATTAATTATAGGAGCAATAATTATTTTGTCAAAGAACCTGGTTTCTTTTCACAGGAAGTGGTATTTCAAGAATGCAATTTGTGTGCTAGGGATGCTCTTTGCTGTTGGGTTGATTATTGTTTCTAAGCTTTTTAGCGAATGGGGCTAGGACATACAAAGATGCGTTTGTTTGTATGCGATTATTTTAAAGATACATTCTGAATTGAAAATATTTCCAAGTACAGTATTTTTATTTGTACCTCTTCCTTTATCTCTGTCTCCTTTCTTTCATATCTAAATCCTGATTTTTAGGGACACAAGCGAATGATAGAATAATAATATCACATCATTCTCATTTGCATCATTCCACATGTATGCACACAGTAGTCTTAGTTAACAAAAGCAAGTATCACACTATGATTTCTGGAAAGTTGCCTTTTTTTCCCATATGTTATCCCATTTTTTAATAGTTGTACTGTATCTACAGTGTCAGTACATTTCCCCATTGTATGCTCTATCCTCTTTTTTATAACCCTTGTTAAGTCTCAGTTCTACAAGTATGTATGTACTACTCACTCATTTCTTGAGTCATTTTGGATATTGCTATGGGAGTGGCAGACCCTTTCTGCTGGACTTTTTTTCTGGTGTGTTCTTACTGCTGTTTTCTATATTGATAACACTTAGCATTCTTTATACTTGAAATTTAGCTGGGTATAAAATCTTTGGTTCATGTTTCTTTTCTTGAGCCTTAAATATTTTACTTTTTCCCCTTGGCATAAAATGTTGCTGTTAAAGTGATGACAATTTGATTTTATTTTCCTTATAAAATATCTGCGATGCTCAAAGAATATTTTCATTTACTGTTAACTAGATTGTGTCTTAGTGATGGTCATTCTGGGTCGATTTTTGACCTTTTAAAATGTAGTTTTATGGTTTTTTAAAATTAAGTTCAGGCAAGTTTTCTTTAAAGGATTTTTAATATTCTGTTCTTTTGCTTTGATTTTCTTTGTTATATGTAAGTTGTTTTTTTTCTGTTTCCTTAAACATTTTTCTTTTGGTCCTTTTTGATTTTTTTTTTCTTTTACTTTCTATTTCTCTTTCATTAAAAAGTTTTATTTACTTTTATGTTCCTTCTACTTTAGTTTTTATTTCTGAACTGATTTTTGTCTTTCATTTTCAATTATTCTATCATCTGATTTCTGAATTTTTCTAATTCTGATTGATGTTAGTCTGTATACAAAGTGTTTTATAGCTTGTTTTGAAATACTAATTTATAGCTGTCAACCTTTTGGGAGGCATGTTTTCTTATGTATTTTTCTGAAGGGCTTTTTTTCTTTCTTTTTTTTAAATACCAGCTTATTGTAGGACTAGGCATTGATCCATTTTTGTTGCTGAGTTTCATATGCAACCAGTTTTCCCTTACGTGCAGTTAGTATTTGATGGTTCATGTTGAGTGTGTGTCATTTCTTTAGTTCTCACTCCACTTGTTTTTATGTAGTATTCCAGAATACTGAGGCTAACTTATAGATCCACTTTCATTTGAACTTTCTTTTATCTTTATTTGTACTATCCTTGTGATGTTCATTTTGGCTTTATCCCTCAGAGTTTCTAATGCTTTGACCTGGAAGGGACCTTGGTGGGTTAGTTTTGAGAGCTGTAGAGGCAACAGGCTTCAGCTTCTTCAGACCTCACCACGGACCCCTTACACTTCTGGCTGCGGGAATGGCAGACCCCTTGTTTCAGTTGCTGTTCTCATAGTGTCTTGTGTGCTTCTAACAAGTAGCTCCTGGTAATTTTGGGATTCTCAGATTTATCAGAGGCATCACACTTATTTCTGCTTCCTTCTTTACAGTTGCTGATACCACACAGAACCTGTTCCTGTTTGTGATGATTTGTCTTCACCTGCTCAAATTTTGGGATTTATAGAGATAGGGGATACTGTCCGTCTGTTTGGTTGGGGAGGTTATCTGTGGGTTTTGAGTTTCACTCTCCAGTTGTCCTGTCCACTTTTATGGGGGAATTCAGGGAGATGAAACAGCTGTGCTGCTGCCTCCGCCATGTGCAGTGTTAACCTTCAGGAGCAGTGATTTATAAGCGTATTCAAGAGGCTGACAGCAATGATGCTGTTTTGTGGGACTATTTTTAGGAAAGAAAGTCATTCCAAGCCTTAATTAATTATTACAATTAGTTTCAATTAGTTGGCCACAGAAATAAAACTAAAAATAAAAGCAAACAGTTTTATTTGGAGGAAAATCACTTTTTATTGACCACAATTTACATTGAGTAGGTGCTGTGCCAGAATATTTCATTTAAAATGTGATATTTTTGTCACTTCGGGAAAGGAATTTCAGAAAAACACGAAAAGTTGTCCAGTCACTATTTTGAGATATATAAAGATAAAAAACATGTTTTGCACTCATTTTAAACTATTTTGATTACTATAAAGAAACAATCAAATAAGAGAGTACTCTGATAATTTGATAAAGTTGGATAAAATTCAGAAGGGCGTCCATTTTAATATTTGGAAGTACTGTGTGTTTTAGTTGTTTCTTGTATTTGGTTTACTACCACAGGTGTAAAAGTAACCTTTTTTGGTTTTAAGTCTAGGCTCTCTTGGTTGGCACTGAAATTCCATTTTACAAGATTTTATCACGATTAAAACATATTAATCAAGAGAACTGATTGATATGAAGAAATAACAGATACATTTATTTATTTTGAAGATATTTTTGTTAACTTCAGAGAAGATTTAGACAGCAAAGATGCATTAGTATTCTATAGGAGAAATCCAATTTAAAAATCCCCAGTAAATTAATGAGGAACATTTGCAGATAAGAAGTTTGTGTATTTGGAGTGATTGTGGGTGAGTTGCTGAAAAATTCCAGTTCAGTGTAGTGTGTATGTAAGTAGCATATCTAGGCTCAAGACTGAACTATAGAGTTCTTTCATCTGAATAGCCATTTCAAGTGTTTAACGATTCTTATTAACCTTCTTTCTTTATGTGTCTCCAGTATATTTTTAGGGAGGTATGGAATCCTAACAATTATTTATTTTAAATCTTTTTTGATTAATATTTGTAGAACCGAGAGTTTGAAATCACACAACACATACACGTTCACCTGCATACAAATACAAATTGAGTTCCTTCAGTCAATGAAGTGAGTTATACCTGAGGGCACTTGAAGCCCAGCGTGAATTGACTTGATCAAGATTACCCAACAAACTGGTGTCATACCTGCAATCCAGGTCTTTTGATTCCAGTCTGCACTTTTTTTCACAATAAAACACCACTTTCTCTGAAAGTTACAATAAACTTAACGTGTTAGAAAAGTGAATCAAGATTCAGCTCCGAAAGGACAGTTAGTGAGAAAGGAAGCTTAGGAATGCTGGATGTCACCAGCTTTGCCCAGATGCCTAAGCCACAGTTTTTCTTGTCACTCTTGAAAGTTGTACTCCTTCTTGACAATGACTTCCATAATTGTGAAGCATGTTGGTAAGGTCTTGGAGCCAGGTAGTCATCAGTGCAAATTTCTTTGTTCCACCACTTAGCAGCTTGCTGAGCCTTAATTGGGATGATGATATAATCTTCAGAGTCATGAGGATAGATAGGAACCTGTGTAAAGCATCTAGTAGCATATCCCAGGAACCTTTCCCCTTGTGCTCAGTTACCTTATGTTTTCAATCTCTGTACTGTGTTCTATCCTATTGGTACTGACCTTAATAAACTCTTCATTTTTTCCCCATAAAATGTGCATCCTATTTGGAGACCCTTTCCCTTTTAACTTCATAGAGCAATTCTTTGTTGTTACATAACATTTTTAGTTGTTGATCATTATGCCATTGCAACTTAAACCTAATTATTTCTTTGAAAATAATTGCATATATGATTTTATTATCTCTTTTCTAAAGTTAAAAGATAATCAAATAGGATTCTAGCCATTGTAAGTCAGAATTAACAGATATCCTGTAAGTTTTGGAGTAAGTAGGAATTTGAACAACATCTCTTTACAGAAGTTTTCCTTAAGGAAAAATGTTTTTTTTTTTTTTTTTTTTTTTTTTTTTTGAGACGGAGTTTTGCTCTTGTTATCCAGGCTGGAGTGCAATGGTGCAATCTCGTCTCACCGCAACCTCCGCCTCCTGGGTTCAAGCAATTCTCCTGCCTCAGCCTCCTGAGTAGCTGGGATTACAGGCACATGCCACCATGCCCAGCTAATTTTTTTATATTTTTTGTAGAGACGGGGTTTCACCATGTTCACCAGGATGGTCTCGATCTCTCAACCTTGTGATCCACCCGCCTCGGCCTCCCAAAGTGCTGGGATTACAGGCTTAAGCCACCGTGCCTGGCGGAAAAATGTTTTAAACATTTATAAGATCATAATTCTGACCACTGCTTTGTTATGTTACAGTGAAAATGCCTCGTGTAAAAGCAGCTCAAGCTGGAAGACAGGGCCCTGCAAAGAGACATCTTGCAGAACAATTTGCAGTTGGGGAGATAATAACTGACATGGCAAAAAAGGAATGGAAAGTAGGATTACCCGTTGGCCAAGGAGGTTTTGGCTGTATATATCTTGGTAAGTGACTGCTTCTAATGATCAATCCAAAGATTTATATGGCTTTCTTATCAAAATGGTTTCTCAATTATGAGCTATTATAGGATGCTCCTAATAATCTGCAGTCAACTTAATACTGTCTGATTAAGCAAAAATGCATCTCTGACATAGGAGTGGAAATTGTTAATGTAATCGCAACAGAAAAAGAGGATAAAATATCTGTAAAATTGTCATTAGTGAGGACTAAGGCTTTAGATTTTTAAGATACTCTATATAATCATAATCTCTTTTGAGACCCAAAGAAAACTATGTACATATCTTTCCCCTCCCTCCTCCACCTAAGTGGGATTTATTTCCTCTGTGTTTGTCTAATTTGGAAGTTTGCAAATCTTTTCCAAGTATGGGTTTCTTTTTTCTTTCTGTACAACCAGCATAACCATCATACTGGAACTAAGAGAATTACGTAGACACTGCATATTAGGCTTGATTAAACGTGCAGATAACTCGCATACTTATTCTGAAATTTTTGGGGACCCATTGTGGAATCCTGAAATTCTGTTAACTAAATTATTGACTTAAAAAATATTTTAACTGATTGCTTCTAAAGCTGTCTGCTTCACCAGTACATATTAGTAGTGATACGATGCAATTGATATTTGCTTCTGATTTTTCTAACTTTTCCATTCTATATTCTCACTCTACTTCTAATCTCAGATTAATTATTTATTTTCTGCCACGGAAGTTTATACAATTTTATTTTTAGCAACATCTTACTCAGAATACTGATAATATGATGTAGATTAGTGTCACTTGGGAACTTGTTAGACCTACAGTTTTTTGAGCCTTACCTCAGATTACGAATCAGAAACTGTAGGGAGAGGGGCCAGCAGTGTTTGATCAAGTCCTCTAGGTGATTCTGTTGCATGCTAAAGTTTGAGTACCACTGACATAGGTAAAGAGCACTGCTCTTACTCAAGAGGAGTCCCACTTAACCTGCTCCAGGACCAATGGGCTGTCCTTGATCAGTTGCTGTTTCTGGAGCTATCTTTATGAAACATAGCTTGAAATATAGTGTTTTATCATATTTTATACATATGATTCCTGTCGGTCAGTGGCACCCTTGTTTGTCAAATATGTGTTGATTCTCTGGTTTTGTTTAGAGCCAAACCCATTCCAGTGAACTAGGCTATATCACTGCTGTATGGCAAAAATCCTTGGAAGCCATGACAGATTAGTGGCTATATTAGTCAGTATATATTTTTGATCTTGTTGTTTAGGGGAGATGGTAGATTATGTAAGCTGTCTTTACTACAGGATATGTGGACTTATGCCATCTCGTATTAATAGGAACTTGTCTCTAAAAAAGCAAGTTCTTCATTTTACATTAATTTACTGTTGTAACCTTTTGCAAATTTAGAACTTGCTTTGTCTCATCTTTTATTTGTATTTATCATCAAAAGATGCCATCTAATAGTATTTTTAATAGGCCATGGCTTGACAGATCTCTGTAATAAAACTTTACTTTTATAAGGCTGGGATGACTGATATGTAAAAGGAGGGACTTGCTTGAACATTGTTGCCTCCAGTCTCTCACTTCCGTGATACACTGAAACAGCCAGATTCAAGATCGCTAGCAGTTTCTGTAAATGAATTAAATAGATTGATTTTGAATTTCCTTTGGATTTATTTTTCTGTATATTTGATACTTTTTATCTTTGTTTCTCATAACAGTTAATTCCATTGTCTGTTATGATAACATACCTTTCTTCTAGTTTTCTTTCTGCTTTTCTAGCTGTAATTGGTCATCTCTGTAGGTACTTCTTTGTGCTCCAGCTTGTCTTCTTAGGTTCACTTTTTATTCTATATATTCTGTCTGAGTGAAATCAGGCTTCTCTTACTGTCTCTTTACGGTTGATTTCTATATCTTTTATCTGTAGCCTAGGACTTGATTTCCTGAATCCAGGCCCATAGCCACTGCCCTCTACTATAAGGGATCTCTACTTAGATGTTCTACAGGCATTTCTAAAATGTATATCATCATCTTTTATCTCCTGATCTGTCATGAGGATTGTCTCAATGAATGACAGCCTTGAAGCCAGAAACTGGGAAGGCGTTCTTGAGCATTCCTTCACTAATAGCCTGGTTTCTTTTCTAGTCCTGTTGCTTTACCTGAGTGACTTCTCAGACCCGTTTATTTCTCTCCATCTTTGCAGCCACTGTCCTAGGTCAGGTCATGATCATCATGTCTTGTCTGGACACTCACTGTAGCACCAACTCTTCCCTGTCCCAGTCTTGCTGCCTTGCACACCATTATTTTCAGTATGGCTTGTATGACCACGTCTACTGATAAGACAATATAATCATCCTGTTTACATCTCTCTGATAGCTCCCCAGTCCACTTCGAATAAGATGCCGAACTTTTGAAAATGGCATACAAGACCCTTCACATACAACGTTGGTCTTCATCCCTTTTATCTCCTGAAAGTCTATGCTTCAGCCACCTGGCTGCCCTTTGGCTCTTGATCTTTGTATGTGATGCTTTAGAAATTTTAAAATATATTTTATTTTACATTGTTTTGTACCAAGCCTATGAAAAATTTATGTTAGCTTTACTGAGGTATAATCCATATACTTAGACTATTGGTTTAGCCTCTTAACTGATCTACCTGCTTCTGCCCTTGCCCCTGTACTCCATTCTCCACAAAGCAGTCCAACGAAGTCTTTATTACCACAGTCTGATTTTGCTAATCCTCTTTTCAGAACCTTCTGGTGGCTCCTATCTCATTCATAGTGACAGTCAAAATCTTTATGTCACCTGTTAAGCCTATTGTGTTTGTTCCCTGCTGCTTTCTGATCTGTCTTCTCTTCCATCTCACTTAGTTTCCCCCAGTTACTTTTGCCCCCGTGTTTTCCAAACACTTCAAGTATACTTGCACATCAGGGTCTTTTTTTTTTTTTTTTTTTTGAGCTGGAATCTCGCTCTGTTGTCCAGACTGGAGTGCAGTGGCACGATCTTGGCTCACTGCAGCCTCTGCCTTTTGGGTTCAAGTGATTCTCTCACTGTCAGCCTCCCAAGTAGCTGGGATTACAGGTGCATGCCACCACCATGCCTGGCAAATTTCTCTGTTTTTAGTAGAGACAGGGTTTTGCCATGTTGACCATGCTGATCTTGAACTTCTGACCCCAAGTAATCCATTCATGTAAGCGTCCCATAGTGCTGCGATTATAGGTGTGAGCCACTGAGCCCGTCCCACATCAGGATCTTGGTGCTGTTCTGCCTGGGATACGTACATGGCTTATTCCCTTCCTGCTCTCAGACTACTGCTCAAGTAAAACCTTGTCAGTGAGGTCTAGATCTTTCTTACCGTGTGGCCACACTGCTTACCTTTCTTTCCTGCTTACTTTGTTCTCTGTAGCACTTCACACTGTCAAATGTATTTCATATTTTATTTGTGCTCTGCATCCTAACACTGAAATGGTGGCTTTGTAAGATTAAGGATTTTTTTCCTGTTCATTGCTCAATTTCTATTTCCTAGAAACTGACATTTAGTATGTACTTGGTAAATATTTGTTTAGTGAATATGGGCAACCTTTTACTTCTAACTCAGTATTCTGGGGCAACTGTGCTTTTTATTTGCATGAAATAAAATGACAGCCCCATTAAAATTATTCTGATGGCAGTTGAAAGTTCTAGTGCCAACGTCCTGAACTACTGGTCCAGATGAGTTTTTCCCAAACTAGTGCATTTTAGAACTTTAGCTCCCTCATTTCGTACTACCTTACATTTCTCAACTCTTCAGATGCTCCTCTTAAAAGAATTTCATAGCTTATTAAATTTAAGAAAATGTATCACTTATCCTCTGGGGAATTTACAATATACATTAGCATATCAAAGACCATTAGTACTTTTGAATTAAAAAAATCTTTAACTTATTTAACTCAAAGTTTCCCACATGTAATTGATAATCATATGGAAGAAATTGTAGGATGCATTCTAAATTCAGCTGTGTTAAAACGTGAATGAAAATCTTAAAAATTATGAAATGTACCGTAATGATACCCTGAAACACATATTTGAGAACTGAAGTGTATTCTATCAAGGGGATAGAGATATACAAACCTAAATATTAATATCTTTATAATATTACTTGTTCTGATATTAAATATTTTACTTTTTTAAACAGCTGATATGAATTCTTCGGGGTCAGTTGGAAGTGATGCACCTTGTGTTGTAAAAGTGGTAAGAAATATTTTAGCTAATTTGTTTCTTTTCTGTTGATTTGGTGTAGTCATTTTGTAAAATGCCTTTTGATTATCTAGAATTAGTTAAACCATATTACATTTTTAACAAAAAATATTTAATAAGACACAAAAGTACAGTTTTAAATCACTTGAGTGTGAAAAGTTCCTCTCTTGAAATAAACTGGCACTGGGTCATTTGTATTTGATTGCAGAATATTGTGTGCATTTGTTTTTGATGATACAAATTAAAATATTAAAATCTATGGGTAAGATGAATTTCTTGTTAGGATCGTTAAGAGTGCTGTTGTGAGAAGAAAACAAGTCTCCTTATGACATCTCATAATGTTGAGGTTCAAATGATGTGGTTACTTCTGACCTCTTGCAGTTGGTTGGCATAGTCTGTGTCTTGGAAGGAAAGTGTGGCAGCATCGTATCTTATAGGTGGAACGGTGTATAATCATACCTTTTTTTGTTCTGTATAACCTGAACTTTTTTTTTTTTTTTTTTAAAGACAAGGTCTCACTCTGTTGCATGGGCTGGAGTGCACTGGTGCAGTTATAGCTCATTTTAGCCTTGATCTCCTGTGTTCAAGCAATCCTGTCACCTCAGCCTCTCTAGTGGCTGGGACTACAGGCACACACCACCATGCCTGGCTATTTTTTTATTTTTTATTTTTAGTAGACAGGAGGTCTTGCTTTATTGCCCAGGCTGGCCTCAAACTCTTAAGCTCAAGTGATCCTTCCCTCTCAGCCTCCTAAAGTGCTGGGATTATAGGCATGAGCCGTGGTACACAGCGTCCGAACTTCTTTAAGTTTTGTTTTATCTTAGAATGATGTGCTTGCTTACTGTAATTAGAAATATTTCTGTTGTTGTTCTTTATTGTGAGTAATTATTTCTGTTGTTAGTCAATGTAACTTCACTTTTACTACCTTTTTAACTTAGATGGTTAAGAAAAAACATGGCCAGGAACAGGCATTTTCTATATTCTTAAGGTAACAGATTATATTTTTAAATATAAGGCCAAGTACCTAGTTCAGGACTGTATATCTCCTGTCCCTTAATTTAGTTCTGTTTCCATTATCTTTTATACTTTCTCCTCTTTGCAATTAAGACAGTAATAAATACTTGATTTCTCTTTAGCATTTAATATTTTAGTAACTTTTTCGATGTTGCAGTTATCCTAGAAGAATGTCATAAACACAACAATATTACTGGCCAGGCACAGTTGCTTATATCTGTAATCTCAATGCTTTGAGAGGCTGAGGTGAGTGGAAAACTTGAGGTCGGGAGTTCAAGACCAGCCTGGCCGGTATGGTGAAACCCTGTCTCTACTAAAAATACAAAAATTAGCTGGGTGTGTTGGTGCATTCCTGTAGTCCCAGCTACTTTCGAGGCTAAGGCAAGAGAATCACTTGAACCTGGGAGGAGAAGGTGGCAGTGAGCTGAGATGGTGACACTGCACTCCAGCCTCGACTGTGGAGCGAGAGGGTCTCAAAAAGAAAAAAACAGTATTACTGACTTCCTCTTTCCCTTTGAAGGGGAAATTTGTAACTTCTGTTTGCTTCTTTTCCCCTCGATAGCACTCTCTCCTGAATGCCTTTAAACCCCAATTTCACATGCTAATATTCTTATGCCACTAGTTTTTAGTGTTTTTTTTTTCTCAATGTGCTTGTTCTGTTTCTCTAACTAGATTTTAAGTTACCTGATAAGGATCTTGTCAACAAAGTTTGTTTTCCCTATGCAGTCTTTAGATGCTGATTTTATTTATTCTTTTGAATACTGTTTAGCCATTAATTGTCCATTATCTTTTTACTACTCTCTTCATTTACTCTCAACTTCCTGTTGTCATTCACTTTCTGTCTGTACCATAGAAAGTAGGCCCATTCATAATTTGCCTTCTCACAGATACAAACATGTAAAATGAGTTATCAGTTCTTTCTGATATTTAAATCAGAACTGTTGATGAACATTTGTCATTTATAACATTATAGGCTATTAAAGATTATATAGAATGTGTACTATGGGAAAATTTTATAATTATTTCTGAAACAGCAGGGTACAAAATTCCATATGTAGTATGAAGATTGTTTTATAAAATGATTATATATGAAGAAAATACATGAAAGTGTTTCCATGTTTTCTAAAATGAGCGTGTGTTTTATCATCAGAGAAAAAAACTTGCAAATCTTAAGAAATAAAGGCAAATTGATTTTTAATACGAAATTATACTTAATAATGTAAGAGCATATCAAACAGTGGTTCTCAATCCTGGTTGTAGAGTATAATCAGAATCTCCGGGTGTAGGGCCTGGTTATTGGTATTTTTAGTAAAGCTTCCCAGGTGATTCTTTTGTGCATCAAGACTGAGAGTGCTGGTAGAATCTGGCACACAGAGCACCTTAATTATTTTAAATGGAATCATGTGTGCATGCACATTTTTATCTTTGTTTTCAGTAGGGGCTTGCAGGTACCCTGTGCTGCTGGTAAGGGTTTCTAACTGAATGTGGATGGTTTGTCAAGGAATTGGTTATTGCTAATAATACATGTATCTTTATGAAACAGCTCCAAATAGTTAACCCACAAATTTCTTCTTTGGCATTGGAGTGAAGTTAAAACGTACACTTTCAGGCCGGGCGCGGTGGCTCAAGCCTGTAATCCCAGCACTTTGGGAGGCCGAGGCGGGTGGATCACGAGGTCAAGAGATCGAGATCATCCTGGTCAACATGGTGAAACCCCGTCTCTACTAAAAATATAAAAAATTAGCCGGGCATGGTGGCGCGTGCCTGTAATCCTAGCTACTCAGAAGGCTGAGGCAGGAGAATTGCCTGAACCCAGGAGGCGGAGGTTGTGGTGAGCCGAGATCGAGCCATTGCACTCCAGCCTGGGTAACAAGAGCGAAACTCCATCTCAAAAAAAAAAAAACAACAAAAAAACCCCAAAAAAAACCCATACACTTTCAAGGTAGATATCAGGTACATACTAGAAATCTTCTCCTGTGTACCAATTGATGGTCTCTGGTTTTGTTTGGGGCCTTAATCCTTGACCTACAGGAGAGACACTGTATTTTATTTCTGAAAGTAACTGTGCAGAGAGAAATTTCAGTTCTACCAGTGTTCTTAGTTTTAATGTACAAAAGAATCACCTGGGAAGCTTTACTAAAAATACCAATAACCAGGCCCTACACCCGGACATTCTGATTATACTCTGCAACCAGGATTGAGAACCACTGTTTGATTGAACCACTGTTGTAATATGCTATTACATTATTAAGTATAATTTTGCATTAAATTTAAATTGATAATAAGTTGGATAATGCAAGGAGAAAGAAATTCTCTTTTGTGTTTTCTTGCTGACAGGCTTAATAAGAAATTAGTAGTTCTTTGAATTGCACTTACCCTTTACAGTCATGTCAGCAGCAGAACTAGAGGCAGAGGTCAGGCTTTTGGATGGTATCCTAACAGGTCATTGTATCATGGTCCTTTTCTGGTGTGAACTGATATATGAATCTATATTTCACAGTTCCTTGGAAAGAAGTTTGCAGACTGATGTTTGATTTTCCTCACTGATGTTACGAGAAATGACCTGAATTTTTAATTCATATATCATAATTTTTTGGTGGGAAGGAGAAATTTTGTACGGCTTCATTTTTAAATGGCAGCCAGTTGCTTTTAGCTGGTGCCATTGAAATATATCACATTTTAATTTTTTTTCTGTTGTCATCTTCATTTTGACACTTAGAAGTCTTAAAGAAACGTTTAGTGATATTCTAGTTAAAATGTCAGTCCCAATTTCTTTTCTAAATCTTGGCTATTATAGAGTTGGCAAAGTATTTCAGATTTGAAATATGTTAATAAAATTTTAGTTACGAGTTAAGGTATTTTCTTCAACAGGAATAGCTAGCTTTGGCTAGAGTGCAATGCCAAGGAAGTAGCTCCTTTATTTTGTGATAATGGAAGTTTATTGGATTAGAAGAAGTATGAAATGAGCTCAGAGAGCCTTTATTGTAGTGGGCTTTCATTATAATAGCCTGATTTATATGGTTGATTCTCATTATTGTAAGTTTAATAAATTATTGCCTGAAGGAAAACTTGAAAGTTAAAGTTGATATGACATAGGTTGAAACGGAATAAATCAGAATTTTATACTGATTTGTCTTAGGAAAACCTCTTTCAAACCTGAATTATATAAATCAGCTCTTCTAAAGGTAGGCTTTGGAGAGGAACTTTACCAGAATTCCTCCTTTTGAATTTCTGTTTCTTACACTGATTCTGTGATTACTGCTGAAGACCTATTCTTAGCCATTGGCTGGAAACATTGTAAGTGTCTCTTGTAAATGCTTTCAAGTGTCATGCTGTTACTGCTGCTAGGAAAGGAGCCACAGGTTATAGAGAAACTTGGGTACTGAGTTTATAAATTAAGAAATCAGCACTCATACTTTCAATCTCTTGGTTAGGTCCTACTTCTTAAGGAGTTGATGCATGCCAAGTCATGATACTGCTTTCTTCCAGGGTTAGGGTGAAAAGTATACTTACCTGTAACAAATAAGGCAAGCTTATTTTCAGATTGTGATCCAAGTGTTAACGTGTGTTGCCTATTCGCTGTTAAATACTCATTCATAACTGCTTGACTCTGCAGATTAGCCGATCGGTTTTTCTCTAAGTACTTTATTTATCTAACCATATCTATATTTATTTATGAGAGAGAGAGAGTCTCGCTTTGTCACCCAGGGTGGAGTACAGTGGCTTGATCTCGGCTCACTGCAGTCTGCGCCTCCTAGGTTCAAGTGATTCTCCTGCCTCTGCCTTCTAAGTAGCTGGAATTACAGGCGCCTGCTACCACACCCAGCTAATTTTCCTATTTTTAGTAGAGATGGGGTTTTACCATGTTGGCCAGCCTGGTCTTGAACTCCTGATCTCAGGTGATCTGCCTGCCTCTGTCTCCCAGAGTGCGGGGATTATAGGCATGAGCCACTGCACCCAGTGGTAGAAGATAGTTGTTAATGAGCACCGTATTTTTATTGACTTTAAATCATGTGGGAAATAAGTTGAATGGCTCTTTGGTTTGACAAAAGCAGGAATCCGTGTCTCTAAATCTGCATCTAGAAAGGAAAGGATGCAGATCAGTGGACAGTGCATGATTGTTCAGGAGATGCAGAATATGCACTCTTCTTTGTGGTAAGGTCTGTTTTTGCCAATCCTGGTAAAGTAGATGTAACTGTAATGAAAACAGGAAAGGAATGGGATTTTGCCATTCATTGGTTAAATCAGGTATTGAAATTTTATTAAATCTCCGAAATTTTGTAGCCCCTTGGTGATACAGTTAAGATGGTTGCTCATCTTTGCTTAAGAGAAAGCTTAATAAAGATGAAAATTAGTTTAAACATTTTTCTTAAACTTCTGCAGGCTGAGCTGTATATCTGATTTTGTATAATTTATCACTTACAGAAATGGAGCTTGAGAGCAATAACAGACTAATATTTCTCTCAACGTTTCTACCGAGTTTCTCTTAATCTTAATACATTTATAAACTTAAGTATCCAAAGTACATTGTTTGGACTGAAAAATAGATTTGTTGGTCTTTCTTGAAGGTTCATTGAAAATAACTCAGTAATTTTAACTACTGCTAGTACTAATTAACTCTTATATTTTAAGGAACCCAGTGACAATGGACCTCTTTTTACTGAATTAAAGTTCTACCAACGAGCTGCAAAACCAGAGCAAAGTAAGAAATGCAGTACACGTTTACACTTTAAAAATGACCAGTTTTTTGTTTTGTTTTAAGCCAAGACCTAGAGCATTATATATCGTATGTTATGACTCTGTTATTTTTTTGCCTTGTAAATTCCATTTACGTGAGATTTGTCTGAAATAATTCTGATCTTTTAATGAGTTTGTTGCATCAATATTTTCCCTATATTGATATATAGAATAAAGTTAATAATAAATGACTTGAATTGTTAAACATTGAGAATTCTTGATGAACTAGAACAGGATATCAAGGTAGTAAGCCAGAACCTCTCCTAGTTACTTTGGCCCCTTCTGTCCATCTCTCTTAGACCTTTATTTCCTGGTTGAGGACTTTTAGATTGAGGAATAAACACCTTTTAGATTGGTATGAAAAACAGGTCTTCTATAGAATCAAGTAAACAGTACGTAATTAGAGATATAAACTGCAACTTCAGGATAGTCCACCCTCTGTATTCTCAGATTCCACATCCTCAGACTCAACCGACTAGGGATCAAAAATATTCTAGGAAAAAAAAAACAATAAAAAATAACAATTCAGTAATAAAAAACAGTACAAATAAACAGCTAGTACAGTATAACGACTGACACAACATTTACATTGTATTATGTATTATAAGTAATCTAGAGATGAGATAAAAGTATATAGGAAGGTGTATGGAGGTTATATGCAGATTATATACCATTTTATATGAGGGACTTGAGTATCTGGATTTTGGTATCTTGAGGCATGGGGGTTCCTGGAAACAAGCCCGTAGAATGAAGGAATGACTGTACTGTAGTTTTGATTTAAAAAAAAAAATGCTTTTTGTAGATTTTTCATTTTAAAGAAAAATAGCAGTTTTGTAGGTTAATAAAAATGTTTTCATCATAAAATGCTTTTCATTATTGGTTATACTGTATTTTTTTTATGATTAAAGATGAATTCACATGTATAAATACATTTTGCTCTTAATGATTTTTTAAAAAAATTATCATTTATGTATAACAATTGAAATCATGAGGATCTGTTTTAATTTGTAGTTCAGAAATGGATTCGTACCCATAAGCTGAAGTACCTGGGTGTTCCTAAGTATTGGGGGTCTGGTCTACATGACAAAAATGGAAAAAGGTAAAAATATGTGTGATTTGTCTTTCTCCTTCCCTTTGCAACATTCACTGGTTGGTTTAGTCAGTAATTATTTACTGATCACTTATAACACTGATCACTTTAATAATAGGCTTCCATCTGGACTATATGAAATGTATGTGACGTAGATGAATAAGATGTTATCTCTGTCTTCTGCTTTCCATAGCAGCATGCTATGATGCCCTATTAGTGTAGGGGTGCCTCTCTAATCAGGGGACTTCTAGAGAGCAGTATCAACTGACTGTAATCCAACTGACAAGGAGGTATAAAGCCAAACAGGCCCTGGATTTTTTTTTTTTATTTGCCCTTAAGAATAAACAAACACAACTCCTCTGTTCTTTATGTAAAAGGGAGTCCTTTCAGGATTGCATTTGGCATTTCATGTTGGATACGTATTCTGCCCACATGAGATTACACTCACCCTTTATGAGGGGTTCAGTCTAGCTGGTGAGTGAAAACAGACATATCAAACAATTAGAGAACAGTTAAGTGCTAAGTTGTGTGTTACTGACACTCATGTCTTAGGAGTTCAGAAAATGGAGATAATTCCTTGGCAAAGTTTATTTGGAGAAAACCTCTAATACTTCGGTGCATAAGCAGCACTTGATACATATTTGAATGAATGAATGGAACTTGACGGAGTAAGGCTTTGGTAGCTGAGACTCTAAGGGTAGATTTACTTTGGAACTGGGGATGTATTGCTTTGGATGATTTGAACTGCAAGTAAAGGAAAATGTTGCCTCAGGCAGTTGTCAAGGGCCCAAGTTCCGTATCTTTGCCCTCCTCATCTTGGTTTTGTTCTCTGTTAGTTCTCCATTGCGTGGTCTCCGGGTGGCTGCTCCATTTCTAGGCTTCACATACAGGCACAGTACCCAGGGGCAGAAAATGATATCTATTGTGTGTTGCAAGTTTCACTTTCCTGGCAAAGAAAGCTTTCCCAAGAGCCCTGTGGCAGACTTCCTCTCAGTTTTCTTGGTCAGAATTTTATCAATACCTAAGCCATTCATTGGCAGGACAAAGTGGTCACAGTGATCCACGTGGAAAAGGATGGAATGCCAGAACCAAATTGGTGCTCCGTTAGAAAAGATTGAGAGGAGGGGTTAGTAGTTGGTTAGGCAGCCAGTGTTGTGGGGAGCCCTGAAGTCTCTTTTAACATTTCCTTTTATGTGGTTTTGCTAGGATAGCAAAATATATTATAGTTTTTATAATACTATAGAACAAGGATTAGTTAAGTTAGTTAAGAACAAGGATTCTAGACTGCCTAGTTTTAAAACCTTGTTTTGCCCCTTAAAATGTGTGTGACTTTGGGCAATGTTTTGCTTTGATTTCCTCATCTGTGAAATAGAGTAACAGCTACCCACTTAATCATGATTAAGAATAAAGCTACAAGAGTATATGTAAAACATAGATGTTAGCTTTTGCTCTCAAAGGGGTCTTTTAATCGCTTAAATGTTAAAACCTACTGGTTTAGAAATCATTGAGGAGGCGGAATAGCATCTTAAATGGGAGATTAACATGAGCACAGGCAGGATAGGCTTCTGTTCTACTGTATGACCTAATAACCGTCTTCCTCTAACAGAGGAAGAGGGCCTGTGTGTAAGAGAGAAGGAAATACACTTGGAGATTTGGTGGCAGATAATGAAGACCCACAGAGGAAAGAACAGTTTGTAACCAATGTGTAGTAGGTAGTCAGAAGCTATTGCTTGCACTTGACAAGGGATGAGGTGACACAGTGGTGAAACTGACATTTGGAAAATGGTTTACATGGTGAATTAAAGACTGTCTAAAGGGGAATAAGACAAGAAAAACCCTTGTAGATGACTTGCTAGGAAAAAAATCTATTTGACTTTGTGCTCCAATATAATAATAGATTCCTAAAAAACAGTGCATTATGAAAACCACATTTTATAGAGATGATTGGAAGAAAAGTGTGCCTGGGGCTAGAGCATTTTTAGACTTGGAATAACAGCCTTTTCCTCTTTCCATAATTTCAGTATAAATATCTTAAAAAAAGCAAGTACAGCATATTGCAGCAAAACCTAAACACCAAACAAATGTAGTGCTAGATTGATTGTATGGACTTCATCAGGTGTGGTCATGGGTTAGTTACTTTCTGTCTCTCTCGTTTCCCTATCTGTGAGATGAGGACAATAGTACTTTATGAATTACTGTGAAGATGAAATGAAAACATGTAAATTGTAAGAGATACCCAGTAAGTGCCAGGAAATGTTTGTTGCAGCGATCATCACTGGGATTATTATGATTGGTTTCATTTGTTGGTCTGTTACTTTTGTCAGTGGTGGTATTTTGCTTGGTAATGATGGTCTTTCTTAAAGTTGCCCACACTGTCATTTCACATTTTACCATATTCATTCTTAATGCCTGTTCTATGATGAAGTTCAGAACCAGTTATAACAGGTCTTTTGTTTGTGTGACTCCCATGAGGTGACCAGGGACTACGTGGGTTGAAGACTGAGTCTGTAAGCTGACTGACGAGGGCATTGCTGGAAAGAACTTCCCTGGTGTGGATCAGAGAGTGTGGTGACCAACCAGAACACAGTCTGAGTCTTAACTCACCATCTGCTAGTGATGACTTCACCGCCCACTCCATTTATTCTATAAAATGAGGTTGCTAGAAATGTCTCCTTTAAAAAGATAGCATTAATCATATATCAGGCATTGATTTACTCTTTAGGTTGAAGCTCTTAAAAAGAATCATTATAGGTCTTACAGAAGTAAATAAATAGAAAGTAGATTATTCTTCCAGCCCCCTCGCCTGCCAGACATCCTTAGTTTTTCTTGTAACTCACTGGAATTAATATGTTATGTTGGACTTGGAACAATGTTAGCTGCTATCATTATTAAATTATACTGATATCTATCTATCTATATATCTGTATCTATCTATCTATCTATCTATCTATCTATCTATCTATCTATCTATCTATTTTTTTTTACTTGGGCGTTTATCCTAGTCTCCAGAAAAGTACCCATCAAAGGTTTTACTTTAAAGGAGTTACTTAGAAATAACTTTCGTTTTATTACTCAGCGGCAGAGGTGTCTTTCCAGAAGAATGTGGTAATGGTTTTATGAAATTTGTGGAATCGTGTTTTTCAGTTGATGTTTATGATTTAGGTATGGTGAAGAGATTAAGGGCTTAATAAGAATGGTGGTGGGGTGATTTGTGAATAAAAACAAAGACCTACATAGTAGAATTTATTAATAGACCCATGTTGAATTAAGCAATTGTGTTTTAGCCCTCTTTCAGACTGTTACAGAGGTTGTGTTTTTGTTACCCATGTATTACAAGTTAAGTATCTCTTATCTGAAATGTTGGCACCAGAAGTATATTAGATTTGGGATTTCTTGAGGATTTTGTAATATTTGCATTAATACCTACTGGTATCCCAAATCCGAAAATGGGAAATCCAAAATGCTCCAGTGAACATTTCCTTTGAGCATCATGTTGGCACTAAAAAACTTTCTAATTTTAGAGCATTTCTGATTTCAGATTTTCAGATTTGGGATGCTCAACCTATGTTATAATTATTATACACATCACCTATTTAGTAAAAGCCAACATGTATATGTGCCCTGGTCTCACCTCTCAACTAAAGGTTGAGAAAATCTGTTACACAATGGAAACCAGGAACTCAAAAGTTACCATTTTCACCTTTATTATCTTACAAGCCAGCGTACTAGAAAATCTTACATGAATGAATGTATTTTGCCACTGCTAACTTTATAACCTTGGACAAGTCACTTTACTTCCAAAGACCTCAGTTATTTTATTTATTAAAAGATGATTAGACAAGATGATTTTCTAATTCCCTTCCAGTTCAAAAATGAATAGAGTTCTGAGTTTTTTGGTTCAGAATCTTTTCTTTTATGTTAGTTAACTCTTCCTTCCCTATTGAACTTGTCATATTGCTATCATAGAAGCCTACAACATATAAATGGGATTTTTGTATCCTCCTGACTTTTATTTAAGTATATGTAGTGCAGTGGTTAAAAGCATGATTTTTGTCACATACTAGAGGACAAATTACTTAACAGTTTTCTTCTGCTGTAAAATGGGGATGATAGGAGTTATTTACCTTATAGATGTGAGGTTTAAATGCCCTAACAGCATTTTAAGTACTACAGTAGTGCTGTGCTCATACCAGGTGTTCAGTAGATGCTAGGTGTTACGGTGTTGATGATGCATAGTCTTCCTCATTGGAAGATATCCTGATACATTCTGAGTGTGGTGTTGGTTTTTATTGATTTACTGAATGATTTAACCAGACAAGTTAGAGTCTGGAAAACTGTTGAAGATAAAAGTGATCTTCAGAGCAGAAGCTGAGCAGTGTTATTGCAAATAGGCAATGCTTTTCTGTACATACTAAAATACAACATATGATTATTGAATCTGAGTTTTGGGTCCTGGAAGTGACCTTAGAAAGGATGAGTCCCTGTTCTCTCATTTTACTTCTGTGGAAATTGAGGCCCAAGGCAGTAATGTGACCTTGGCCAAGGTGACATGCTGCTTTATGGCAAAACCAGTTATCTTCACATTTTCCCAGGATTTTCGTTTTTCCCCAAATCTTGGCCATTGAATGTTTAAGTGGAATCCTTTTACACCATTTAAACAATGTTACTGAATGTAGCTCTTGTTACAGCATCTCCCCAGAATCTTGATTTTTTAGCAGAATGTTGTTACCTTAAAAATAGAAACAGTCACAGGAAAGGAAGCTGATATCCAGAAACATTAATTAATTTTAACTATGAGAAAAATCATTGCTGTCATGTTTATTCAGCTTATTTTATTTTTACTGTGAATAAAACTTTTGGGTTCTCTGTGTGAACATTATCTTAAATTGAATAATGGTCTCCTGTAATTAGCTGAGACCAGGAAGAGGCCCTCCAGGTAAAAAGCAGGACCTGAAAGCACTCTGAATTCTTGAGATTTCTAGTTGGGAGAAATTGTTGAAAATGTTTGTATTTCTTTTTTAAAAAACACTTCCTTAACTAAACATTGTCTTGAAAAAAATACTTTGAGAGTACTCATTGCAAAGTTGGTTTTCTCGATTTGTATTTTGTTCATTGGCTTTTCGTATTTGTCTTCAGTTACAGGTTTATGATAATGGATCGCTTTGGGAGTGACCTTCAGAAAATATACGAAGCGAATGCCAAAAGGTTTTCTCGGAAAACTGTCTTGCAGCTAAGCTTAAGAATTGTATGTGAGCTATGTTTTTCTTGTTTTTTAAAAAATTGTTTTTAATACGGTAAAGTCTAGTTTATGTTGAAGCTTGGTCCTCTGCTGGTTGGTGTTAGGTACTGCATTAACTTATTCTGTGTAAACTTTAATAGCTGGATATTCTGGAATATATTCATGAGCATGAGTATGTGCATGGAGATATCAAGGCCTCAAATCTTCTTCTGAGCTACAAGAATCCTGACCAGGTAGTTTTATAACTTTAATTTCTACTATTTAAAACATGTTATTTGAAAATAAATATGGTTGCTTTGAACTTTTGAACCTATGTAGAAGTTTTACTTTTTGAAGTAGATGTGGTAATAATATTTCTTTTTGACACTTTGATCTAGTTAACATTCTACATTTTTGATGTGATTTGTTGGCACTTTATCAAGTTGGCTATTTTGCCCTAAATAATATTCAGAAGAAGTGCTTGTGGTACAAAATGAATTTCAAATAGCTATTTGGGGGTGGAAGCTTAAAATTATATAGTACACCAATGAATTATGTTTGCCTGTCTGCTTTGTCACTTTTTTTTATTCCTTTGTTCAAGAAATCCATCAAATGTAAGTGTTCTATTACTTGGAAAATTTGGTCTTTAACATGTTGATTATTCAAATCAATTGGTTTACAGAAATATCTTAGCTGTCTAAATTTGTATACCCTTAGTGTTTGGAATTCAAGTGTGCATTTTTTTTTTAGCTGATTACATTCCCTTTGTAATTTTTACTTTCTAAGGAAAGGAGAAAAGCTTATAATAATATACTTTTATTTAGGTCAGTTTAGTTGGAGTAGAGGGATCTATACAATTTTCCTGTGTAGCTGTTTCTGTGATTTCAGTGAAAGTAAGGTTTAGTTGATGTTCATGCTTTTAATGCATGTTCTCACTTTTTGATCTTATATAAAAAGGAAGATTTGAACATTTTAAATGTGTTTGGGTAGAAATTGAGGCCCAAGGAAATAATGTGTTGGTATTGTAATTATTTGTTAGTACCTGTGCTTCATTCTGTCTCTCAAATTCACCTTTCACGGCCTTTGCTTCGTTTTCCTTTTTCCTTTCGTGCTCTTTTCTTCTTTTGTCATCTCATACTTGCTTCCCTTTCTCCAGTGTCAGTTATGATGGATATAAAGGAATCTAAGTACAAAAGAAGAACGTTACTGTTCTATTAATACAGTGTGCTAGTGGAGAAATCTTAAAAAATCAATCATCAAATTCATCTCTGTTCTGCTAGCCATTTCTTTTTGGATGTTTCTAGGCTAAGAATAAACAAAATGCAACTAAGAACCTGAACAATAAGGGTTCCATTAATTTAAATAGGCTGGACTTTTACAGTATAATAAAATACACCCTAAATCACTTTGCAGGTGACTAAAACATGCTGCCTTTTGTTTATATGGAAATATTTTTGCAGCTCTGTTATCCTTCAGATATATACTTTAGATGGGATTGTTTTTCCAGTGTTAGATGCTACATCTAGCCACATATTTTTGCTTCAGTTTCCTTTTGTGTCCAGATGCTTGCATTTATGACGTTAACTCAGAATTAGAGTTGTAATGTGTGGCTATGGAATCGAAGAAAGCCAAGTTTATTAGCTTTGTATGCTAATCAGACCCACATGTATGTGCCCACAGATAATTATGTATATAATATTAAAATGTAGTTTTAATCATGAAGCCTTGGCTTTAGAATATAGTATTTAAATACAGATAAGCGCCTGATCTAAAAGTTCTTTAGATCATTATTGTGATGTATGAAATATTTTAATAAAGTAAATTGAGATTTGATTATTTTACAAGTGAAGAAACAGGAGTAGAAGGTAACATATCATGTGTCCCCATCATTAGCAGTCTTCTATTGGGTGTGCTTTTCTGTGTGCAACAAGTATTGACGGTTTACTCTGTGCTTAGTTTTCTTTAGAGTCTGTAAGAGAAAGTATAAAATGTATAATTTTGTTCAAATTGAAGAGACAAGATTAATTACAAGTATAACACATACTTATCTAAAAAAATATATAATGTCAAGTGACTAGACTGTAGTTATGTGGTCATTTAACATTTTTCTTTATGTGCAGTGATTTTGACTTTAGTTTGTCTTGGTGCTTGGAAATTTATAGGTGTACTTGGTAGATTATGGCCTTGCTTATCGGTACTGCCCAGAAGGAGTTCATAAAGAATACAAAGAAGACCCCAAAAGATGTCATGATGGCACTATTGAATTCACGAGCATCGATGCACACAACGGCGTGGGTATGTCAGTAGTGCTCGGGTGAGAAATAAACTGCTAATGTTCTCTCCCAGATTCCTATGTAGTTCTTAATTTTGCGTAAATAAATAAATCGATAGACAAATAAGAATTGAAAGACACAGTGGCATGAGGAAAGAAGGCAGAGGTGAGACTCCTACAAATGCTTTTCAGGGCCCTCTGTGTTTTTCTCTCCTGTCTTTTCCTCTCAGCCTTCAAAGATAACCAAGACGGTGGTAGTGGTGAGGTGGTTCATTCAACTGCCATGAGGATTTCTTTTGGTTTTATTTAATTTAATTGGAATGTTAGTTTGTTTTTGTGTTTTTTCTCAAGTCTGTAAGTTTATTATGCATCTACAACTTTATAACAGCTAACTTTTATTTGTTACCTGTTAAGTTAGTTTATTTCTTCAGCAGTAATTTCTTTCTTCTGTGCTCAAAGCTGTGGAAAAACTCAAACACCCAGTTCTCTGGGCCTCTTAATAGCATATAAAAATTGTAAGAATATCTTCAAGTTTTCCAAAGGCAGTATTGAGTATGCCATTGTTTTATTTCTAGACTGATAGTCTCCACCTGAAACCGTAAAATTTACCAATTTGGGTTTTAAAGTAAATTGTTAGTTGGAAGTAAATTGGGAAGTAAGCTATTTATACTATCCAATGTTCACTACTTAGTTAAATACAGTCAAAATTTTATGATGAAAAACAGACCGTGGAGTTGATTCTTTTACCTTATTTTATATATACTTGAAATTATACATTAAAAATTATTTCAGTCTACCTAATCTTCTTCTTTTGCATTTGTAGCCCCATCAAGACGTGGTGATTTGGAAATACTTGGTTATTGCATGATCCAATGGCTTACTGGCCATCTTCCTTGGGAGGATAATTTGAAAGATCCTAGATATGTTAGAGATTCCAAAATTAGGTAAAGGAAAACTTACATTATTTCGAGCAAAATTATGATAAGCCAAATATTTTTAGTCACAGTTTCTTGACAGGAACTGTAATTTCAACTGATACTGATATGGAAATAAGAAAGTACTTGTTAAACAGGTTTCATGGTCTTTTGTTTACTTTAGAAAAATGTCTGTAAGCATATTTAGGATGTAGCACACTGTTGCTTAATATGCTATATATTTTCATTTAATATTAATACTCTATGACATCAAGCTGCAAACAGTGACTCATTCTTTAATTTTTAACAGATATAGAGAAAATATTGCAAGTTTGATGGACAAATGTTTTCCTGAGAAAAACAAACCAGGTAGGAAAAGACTTCGTAAATGTTAATAGGGGTTTTGTTTTCTGTGGATAAAAAGGCATGATACCATGGAGTAGCCCTTAACGTAAGATGTTAGGTGGTTTATTAAATGAATACTTGATCTTTATTTAATTATTATTCAGTGCTTTTAGCAAAGGAAGCAAATTTCATTCATCCTCTAAGCTAGTATGTATTGAGGCTTTGTTGTGTGCCAGGGACTGTAGTTACATCATCAGTTAACAAAACAAATATTCCTGCCCTCTTGAAGCTAACATTCTAGTTGGAGGAGTTAGATAGTAAACACATGAGCAAAATGTTTATGTTCCCCTGGTTGGTAGTGTGGAAATAGAAAACAGGGAATAGAATTAGGGGATGGGGATGGGGTGGGTTGTAAAGTAGGGAGGAGGACTGTAATTTTAAGTAGGGTGTCCAGGGACAGCCTCACTTAGGAGGTGACATTTGAGCAGTTGTAGGAAGGAGGTGAGGGAGGGGGTGAGCTGTGTAGAAGTCTGCGGAAGAGAGTTCTAGGCAGAAGGGACACTAGTGCCCAGGGAGTGCGAGGACTGTGTCTTTACAGGTAACCATGAGGGCTTTGGCTTTTACTTCAAGCAGGAGTGTGAGGTTTGGAGTAGAAAAGTGACATGAACAGCTTATCTTGAGGGGAAATGTCTCCTGCTTCTGGTGTGGGGATGGACTCCTGAGGGAGCGAGGATGGGCCTAGGCAGAAAGCAGGTTAAGAGCCCACTGTAATAACCTATGCGAGAGAAGTAGCAGCCAAACAGTATGAAGTGGTCAGCTTGGATGTATTCAGATGTCTTTTTAAGTCTTTGCTCAGTTGTCTCCTTTTCAGGGAGGTCTAGCCTGACCTAATGCTATTTAAAATTGCAAGTTACTTCTCATGCCAATAAATACAATATGGGTTTCTCAGAATTGTCTCTTGGGCCTCATACCAATCAGTAGCCTCTCCCTCTTGTCCCAATGAGTCACTTACCTTAACTTCCAATATAAAATATTTGTGTTTAAAATGTATAGAAATGGAATAATACAGTGAGTGGAATAGATAAAATCCCTGTCCTCATGAAATTAATGTTTACTTCTTTTAATGTCCTTTTCTTTCACTTAGTTATATGTTTGTGAAGTTCATCCCCATTATTGCTTGTTTTTTTTTTTTTTTGTTTTTTTGAGACAGAGTCTTACTCTGTTATCCACAGAGTCCATTGGCACAATCATGGCTCACTGCAGCCTTAACCTCCTGAGCTCAAGAGCTCTTCCCACTTCAGTCTCTGAAGAAGCTGGGACTACAGGTGCATGCCATCACGCCTGGCTAATTAAAAAAAAATTTTTTTGTAGAGATGTGGTCTCACTGTGTTGTCCAGGCTAGTCTTGAACTCCTGGGCTCAAGCAGTCCTCCTTCCTTAGCCTCCCAAAGTGTTGGGATTGTAGGCATGAGCCATTGTGCTTGGCCCTATTATTGTATGTTTAACAGTAGTTTCTCCATTATTATTTCTGTATGGTGGTCTATTGTAGTTATATACTATTATTTATTCTCCTCTTAGATTGTCTCCAATTTTTGGCAGTTGCAGTTTGCCAGTTACACATACAGATGTATAGTCTACCTGCAATTGATTTTTGGGTATTATTTGAGGAGGGATCGTGTATCTTTCTTATCCTCTTACTTATATCTAGTCGACCCTTGAAAAGACCTTCCTTGAAAAGAATGTTCTTATCCTTTGTTATCATGTTTGTCATAAATCAAATATGGATCTGTGGATCTGTGCATCTTTTTCTGGACTTCATTTTTCAATTGTTCTTTTTGCCTATTCTTGGACCACACTGTCTTAATTATTGTAGCTTTATTTTAGGCTTGATATCTGGTAGTTCCAATACTTTAGCACGCTTTTTTTTAACTAGACTTTGGTACTTTGCTATTATTTGCCCTTTGCATTTCTATTTAAATTTTAGAATCACCTTGTCAAGTACACACACACTCACCCATCCCCACGTTTACTGGAACCTTGGGATTGAATTGATCTGTAGACCAATTTGGGGAGCACTAACATCTTTATACTGTTGAGTTTTACAGTCCACTTATATGGTATATCTTTTATTAAATTTGGTCTGACTTAATTTCTCTCAACTGTGTTTTACAGTCTCCTCTAGGAAAACCTTGCCCGCCTTTCATTGTATTTGTTGCAAAGTATTTGATGCTATTTTAAGTATTTTTTAAAAAGTTTATTTTCCAATTGGTTTTTGCTAGTATATAGAAATAAGATAGATTTTTATATATTTACCTTGCATCTTATGACCCTGCTAAATTTATCTATTAGTTCTAGCAGTTTTTTGTAGATTCTGTAGGATTTTCTACATGTAGTATGATGATGTTGGTGAATAAAGACTGGTTTACATCTTTTTTCCCACTCTTTATGCCTTATATTTCTTTTCTTATTGTACTAGTGAAAAGTACACATGACTGTTCTGCTATACTGAAGGGACATGGCAAAAGTGGACATTTTGCTCTCCAAAGGGGGAGCATTTTCAGTGTTTTATCATACATGGTGATAACTTGTTTTGGGTTTTTGTAGATCCCCTTTATCAGATGAAACTGGAAGTTAGGGATTTTTGTCTGTTTTTTTCTTGGTGTATTCCAAGTATTTAGGAATAATCTGTCACATAGGAGGTGCGTAATAAATATTTGAGTTAATGAAGGGGTGTGTGTGTGTGTGTGTGTGTGTGTGTGTGTAGAACTGTTAAGATCCTTTGAAAGACTGGGGTGTGAAAGGAAATGATTCAAGGGTTACTAACTCAGATTTTGGCTTGAGGAGCTAGAAGGATGAAATTCTCAGTAACTGAGACAGAGAAAACCCCAAGTTTTAGGGATAGGTCAAAAGTTTAGATGTGGCTTTGTTGGAATTTAAGGTGCTATGTATATATTCAAGGACCAACATATGAAATGGTGAATTTACAAGTCTGGAGGTTGGGGAAAAGGTCTGTGTGTGAGTCATTAGCTCAAAAATGGATTTTTAATGTTGAGAAGTATTGATCTTGATTAGTAGAATTTCTTTTTATGGTGTCATTTTGTTTAAGTATACAGTAAACCTTTATCATTCCAAAGCTGATTTTTCTCTTTTATGGGAAAGCTAGATCTTATTTCTTTCTTCTTTCTTTGATCTCTTTTTTGGTGTGTTTTATTTCACATTTACACAAAGAATGTAGCTATTTGCTATAGAGCTAATGGCTTTGATGGCAAAAACATATTGGCTGTGATATTCATTGTATTTAAGAAATTTTACTTTCATAATCTTTATTCTAGATTGCTTTATATTTTTTATAGCTTTAATACTATAATAGTTATTTTTATGAATATTTAAATTTTAAGTTACGTCTTGTTTCTCACAATTAACAGAAGTATGTTTTACATTGTTTCTCAAAATACATTTTTAATTACTTTCTGAGTTCAAAGGCATACTTTTCAATGAAGTGATTGAGAAAAATAGGTATCTTAACAAGATGTGTGTTTGCATTCCAACTTTACTGTAACCATGAATTTTTTTTTTTTAGAGGTATGAGAGAAACAGATTTGTTATCGAAAGTTATAAAATGATTGTGTTATTCTTTTAGGTGAAATTGCGAAATACATGGAAACAGTGAAATTACTAGACTACACTGAAAAACCTCTTTATCAAAATTTGCGCGATATTCTTTTGCAAGGACTAAAAGCTATAGGAAGTAAGGACGATGGCAAATTGGACCTCAGTGTTGTGGAGAATGGAGGCTTGAAAGCAAAAACAGTAACAAAGGTGAATTTTGTTATTAAGTTATTCTTTGGTCTTGTGTTTATAATTGCAGTGAATACTAACTTTAAGAAAGTAGAGCAACTTTTCAATGAAGAAAAATAACAGATTGCATGGCAATTAAGGCAAACACTTTTTATAATACAGAACAATGTGTAGAGGTTTACAGAAAAATACATATTTATATATTTCTTATGTTTGGTAGCAAGTTTTAAATTCCTGAAATGATTTTAACTTGGAATACTTATATCTGACAGAGAAATTTTGATGAGACACTGAATTCATAATTTATATGCTCTTTTCTTCCAAGTCACCGCTTAGGGTTCATCTTGTGTCAGGTTGTTCCTTATTCGTGGATATGGTCAGTGTTTACTAGTTGAAAACGGGCATTTGAAAGTTTCCTTGTTTGTTGATGTGGTATGTTTTACCATTTGAACATTATTTTGCTCTGTGAAGAAATATCACTATGTAAAGCTGTATATCAGCAGATAAGGGGATTAATTGTTTGGAGATAAATGTTAAATAATGAACTTTATGGTAGAAGTATTATACAAGCATGTAAAGAACTGGCATCACTTTAGATTTTACAGGTATGCATTAACTTACTGATTTGCTAGTGCTTATTTTTAATAATTATTTATAAACTTACTGATTTCCTTTATGATCTAAATTATTAATAAAATGTGTTAGCTATTATATGAGGAAGGAAAGCGACTTTTTAGAAGACAAAATTTTGTTTTACATTATTAACTATTTTTATTGTCATTAACTTTGTAAATTCTAGTAGATTTCTTTGGAAATCTCATATTCCAAACTGAGAAAAAGGGTTAAAACAAATTTTTCTCTCTTTAAAATCAGAAGCAGCATATTTAAAATTGTTTATCTTTTCAAAACAGAAGAGTTAGGAATTTCAAAATTGGACCAAGAATTTGACTTTCTTTGGCAAATAACAGGTTTCTGTAATTACTTTCATCAAACAATCTGAAATTATATACATGCATCCACATATACCTCTTTTTCTTGGACAAGTTTTGTCTTGATTCCACTTGCTCCAGTTTTGTGGTGAACAAGTATGCTGAAAGCTATACCATGTTTGAAATGAAGAGGGTAAAATGGAAGCCCAAGTGGAATTTTTTAGTAAGGTATTAGAGTAAACTTACTCTTTGTGTACATGCATAAACAAACAGCATGGCTTTGCTCAGGATAGATTTCTCTGCATTAGTATTTATAGCTAGCTTGTATAGTGTTTTTCTCTAAAATTTTGTTGATTGAGAAATAAAGATTTCTTCTATATGAGAACTTGTCTAGAGCAGCCACCTCCCACCTCTCAGCCCTCCACCTCTCTGCCCCCCGCCCCCGCCTTCCTTTGCAAATCCCTGTTGTTTGGACCTACATGCTAGAGAAAATTTAGTTTCTGCGGGTTGGCTGACTTTACAGCTGAGTAGGTCAGTCTGCTGCAGAGCTAACATCTGTGGCCTTATAATTCTGTTGTGTCCTTGGATAGTTCAGAAGGCTGGAAATTTTCTGTTGGATCATCCCCTACATGTATAAAGCTTCTTTTAGGGGAAAAAATGAATACTAAGTTGAACAAGTTGTACTATTAGGACGTTTACTTCATGAGTTTGCTGCTTTTTGTATACTTATTGCTGACACAGGGTTATTCTTTGTATTAAAAAGAAAGTAACTAAAAGTTAAGGTAAGGGTAGGTAACATCATAAAGCTACTTGATAGCCATGTAACTGAAGTGAGTTATTAGTTTTATTGGCATTTTGGTTTTTTTTGTTTGTTTGTAAAGTGAAAGAATTGGACCAGACCAGTTTCTTTTTAAGCTTTTCTTTTAAACTGCAGAACATTTTCTTCAAATAAATTGTAAATGCTCTCATTGAAACCAGATAAAAGCAGAGCGCTGCTGGATGAGAAGTTAACTTAGGGGGGTCCCTACAAGGAAAAGCTTTCTCCTTTGAGAAACTAGCTTGCTGTCTCTTTTTCAGCAAGATCTATAACCCAGATGTCTTTTTTTGCTCTGGATTCAGGAGGCTCAAAACTAAGTATGATGCTTAGTTCTAGAAACTTTGTTAAATTTTTATAATTAGTACATTTGTTCCCGCTCTTTTTTGTCATAATTTTTTAAAGTGTAAAGTATGTTTTCTGTGTATATATCAGAGTCAGATCTATTTTGGAAAGAAGTAGGTTTAATCAGTTTAACATTCATCAATCATGTAAAAGGTTCCTAAGAGGTTTTTGTTTTGGTAAAAACCTACAGGAATTGATCAACAATGGAATGAAGCAAGGTTTCTTGTCTATTTTTTTGCAGCCATGCTTGATTATGGTGCAGTATATTTGGAAACGAGTGAAACATGAATTTACCCACTTGGAAATGTTAAATGTTTTCTGCTTAATAATCAAGGAGTTCTATTTAAAGCGTAGAATTTTGGGATGGTATAAGGCTGAAGAAGAAAGAGATCAAGTATAAATCTGCTTTTAAAAAGTACAAAGCCAAATATTTTTATTGTTGATTGGAACTAAACACTTTCAGTTTTTAGAATCTGGCAGTATAGTGCATCAGTTATTGGATTCAGTGTATACTCATATATTAACTCAACAATTATGTGAAAGGTCTAATTTACCTACCTGATATAAGCTAGGTCTTGGGGGCTACAAAGATCAATGACATGTAGTCCCATCCTTAAAGAATTCCTTCCTGTTCCATCTGGATTAAGAACAGTTTAATTTACTGGAAAGAGCTCAGTAAGTTAAAAGGACGTTAACACCTCCATTAACTATTTTCTTTTAGGATTTTAAGTTGCCTGCCTAAATCAACAAAAAAAGTTGTTGTTTGGAATCTGATCCCTGGAAAGTTCTTGAGTAGGTCTACATTATGGCCTTGCAATTTGTATTTTATTTTATTTTTCAGACAGTCTATATTGTTACTCCCTAAGAATGATATGCACATACCTTTCTTTCCTTCTCCTCTATTTTACGTCCTCTAATTTTTAAATTTTTAAATTTTATTTTTTCTGGCTGCATTATGCTAATTGGCCTTTCTAGAGTTTCCCCGAAAAAAAATCATTAACCATTGTTAAATAAACCCTTACTGGCACTCAGCCTGAAACAGGGTACAAAGAGTTGAATAAGAGCAAAGCCCTTCCATTGCAAATCAGTAGCCTGCAGCTGCTCTGGTGGACGGCTTTCTTCCTTTATTTCTGAGGGGATTATACCTCATACAGTCTTTATACCATGTAGCCTATAGTTTCAGTCAGGTTGCCCTGAATGTACCCTCTAAATTTTGGGAAAAATCTATCTGGCTATTTTAGCCTGATATGGTAATAAAGATAAACTGTATTTTAATTATATAAATTTAGATTGTTGAAGTTGATACATCTCTGTTTTCTAATGGTTTGATCATAGTACTGTAGTTAAGTAGAGTCAGCATTTGCTAGCAGTTATTTTCTTTAGGTCTGTTATTGACTTTTTTATTTTGAACTTACTTGGCTGAATTTTGTCAAGTGGCTTTTTTTCCCCTAAATTATTAAGTGAAATTGTTACATATGTATAGAAAAGTGCAAGAATAAGGACACTTTTACAAAATACTTGTTTAAACATCATCCAGATCAAGATATGGATCATTGCCAGAATTAGTTTTGCCAGTTTTGGCAAAATTTATAGTAATGGTATATATCATATACTCTTTTGTTTCTTGCATTTAGTTGTATTTCTGAATTTCTGTGCTGTTGCATGTAACAAAAATTGGTTGTTTTTCGTTGCTATATAGTAGCCCCTATGACTATCCTGTAATTTATTGACAGACATTCATATTGTTCCAGTTTTTGGTAGTTGTGATAGTGCTGTTAAGAACATTAATTTTTTGGGGAAACATATATTTATTTCAGGTTGCATGTGTACATAGTGGGGTTGCTGCAGCATAGGGCTTACTTACGTTCAGGTTTTGTAGATCTTGCCAGTCAGTTTTCAAAGCTGCGGTCACAGTTTACATTCCTATCAGTAGCATAGGGGAGATCCAGTGGTTACAGACACTAGCTACTGCATTATATTTATTTTCACCTATTTTGGTGGATGTGCACTGATTTCTTTATGGTTTTTAATTTAATCTCCTTGAAAAATACCGATTGAATGTTTTTGTATGCCCACCAGTCTTGATAATCGTTTTTTTGATGAAGTACATTTCAAATCTTTTGCCTGTTAAAAAAAAAAATGGGATTGTTAGCTTTCTTTTGATTTGCCAGAGTTGAATACTTTATATGTATACAGTATATGTGTTGCACATATCATCTTCCAGTTGGTGTTTAATCTTTGCACTCTTAATATGGTATCTTCTGATAAATAGAAGCTCTTCATTTTAATGAAGCTTTGCACTCTTAATATGGTATCTTCTGATAAATAGAAGCTCTTCATTTTAATGAAGCTCAGTTTATCAGTCTTTTTGTTTATGGTTAATGCTTTTTATATTCTTTTTGGGAATATTTTGTCTACTTTAAGATCATGAAGATGTTATGTTATTTTCCAGAAATTTTATCCATCACATTTAGGTCTACAGTTTAACAGAAATTGATTTTGTGCATGGTTTGAGTCAGTATTTGTTTTCCTTCTTTTGGTTATGTAGTTGATATAAACCGTTTGTTGAAAAGACTGTCCTGTCCTGAGAGCATTGCAGTGGGCTCTCAGGTAACCATGTGTGTTTGAGTGTCTTTCTGGATACCCTATTCTGTACCATTGGCCTGCTTATCTGTCTTTGTGCCAGTGCCACACTGTTTGAACTATTGGCTTCATAATGATATCTGCTAGCATACGTTCTCCAGGTTCCTATTTCTTTAACATTGTCTTTGCTAGTCTTTGCTCTTTGAACTTACATATAAATTTTAGAATTGGCTTATTGCTTTCCACAAAAATATTTTGGGATTTTGACCGACATTGCGTTTACTCTATGGAGCAATTTGGAAAGAACTGATGTCTTCTCTTCCATAGATGTAGTAGGCCCCTATAATTAT